GACTTCTCGAGCAATCATTCTCTGATGCAGGCATGTAGCAATGATGAGCACTGCAGATGTAAAACCAGTGATTCTCAAAAGCAGCCAAAGCCACACTTACTACGAAGCCATTCTATTATTGCTACAATAAAAACTGATGATCTTGTTTTTGTTTGTGGTTGCCTTTTGTTTAAACCCCTCAACATAAGACATATTCCCCAAAATCATGACCTTCTAATTTCATTGCTCCTATTTAACATTAGCCCCTCCACACTTCTCTCTTGCTCTGTCACTTCATCAAGAAGAATAAAAATCTACAGAGGCAAACTTCTGAAAGCAGAATTAGGACCTTTGTATTCCTTTGTATTCCTGGACTCATGGGTGTCTCCCTATCCCAGAAGCCATCAACGGCAATGCATTTTCTCATACAGACTAAAACCACACCAAGCATCAATCTGAGAGGGTGCATACTTAACAAAAAGACAAAATTTCAACCCGGTGTTTCTACACACCATGACATTAAATTACCAGTTGCATAAAGTTGCCTGAAAAGGAATTTATATGAGTAACTTCTGGTTTAAGACTCTTATAAAATCAGTGTCATCAACAAAGTCATTAGGAGGGGATTTAGGAAGTCTGTAAGTCAGGAGAGTTTGGAGAAGTCACTCCCAGCTCTCATATGACAACTAGCAGCAAACAGCTTTACCCACTGCTAACCAATCTTTCCTCAAACCGGGTAAGGATGAGACAAGATTTGGTGAGCCATGAAGAGAAATTCGCTCACTTCTAACCTGCCTCCTGAGGTGAGACTTGTCTGTGTTCATTTCAAGTAACCTGGACAGAGGCACAGCTACGAACATTAATGCTGCCTAGGCTGTATCTGTGCTGGATACAACCAGGCAGCTGCAGACTCCCAGGCAATCAGCTCAGCAGCCTCCAATAGCATCCATGTCATGTTCTGCAGCCTGAGGCGGGAACACTGGGTCAGCAAGGTCAGCTTTTAAGGTATTATTTCTTCTCATCTCCTTCTTGAAGCCTCACTGCTGCACTACATAACATGTTGCAGTCACTTTATTTGCTGAATCACCGGGACCTTTTTTTGACTGGCAAGTTGATCGGGGGCCACATGTACAAAATACCCAGACAGATATGGACACTTTGGGGCTAGACACAAAAAATGTGAGGCCATGACACCAACTCTCTATGCTCTTGCTCACTCTTCATTATACAATATCCTCAAATAGCTGAAACTTTCAGACTCCCAAGCACTGTGACTGTAAGTCAATAATAGCAACATTCCCATCCTTTCAACACAGACTTGAGACAAATATCCAGKTATTGTATGGGTTAATACTGCAGGTAGAATGTCAGTTATTTCCCTTTCCAGGTTTCCTGTGAATTATGGCCTCAGGGGCTATAAAGACCTGGTCGAAGCCACATACAGCACAGTTCCTGAGCAGTTTATGTATAAATTGCATTTCCCAACACAGCTTGCTCTGTTGCCTTCCTAAACATGTTACAACATCAGAAACAAAAACCCCATGCAGGCTGACCTGAGTTTTAAAGAGAGAGAACCTGGGTATGAGCGAGTACCCCTCTCTTCTCTTAGAAGATGGAGACTCTGAGGTGAGACTCMTGGAGGGTGGCTGCAACTCACTGCTTTAGATGGCAGAATTTCACTTCCAAAACCTTCCTGGGGAATTGCTAATCTGAAAACATGTCCAGTTGCTCTCCCCAAAAGTAGTCCATAAAGGG